AGGCTCATGCACTGGAGTATCTGGGGTAGAGGTTCCAGAAGTGCTCCCCCACCCCACACACCATCTGTCCCTTCCCACTTAGACCACTACCTTTAGTGGCTGCCCTGGGGCCAAGCGCTGCTGCTGGAGGTGCTGGTGCCGATGGCCCTGCCGGCCGGGGGCTGGGCCGCGCAGACCCCCCCTTATCCAGGGGGGGAAGGACTGCCAACAGTCGCTGCTGCTTGTAATGGGAGAGGAGACCCTCCTGCTGCAAGGTGGCCTGGGAAGGAGAGGGTTCAACGCCGCCTAGCAGGGCAGAGCCTCCCCCCTTCTCTCCACACCTCTACTCCCCACCAGCCCAGCCTCTGCCTCCCCTACCAGCAGGAGGTTCTTGTCCCTCTGCAGCTCCTGCAGGCGCTGGGTCAGCCGCAGCCCCTCCTCCTTCCTGGCCTCTTCCTGCAGGCGCCGGAGCTCCTGGTTCCGTTCCTTTTCCCTGGTGGCTTTGCGCTGCATCTGGCCCAGGGAGACCACTGTGGGGAAGCAGGGGACAGGTGTGGGGCTGCCCAGAGGTCGCGAGGCACCATGAAAACAAGACTGGGCTGATGGGCAGGAGCGTTGGGTCCTAGCTTGGTGACCACCCCTTCTGTACAGGGAGAGGGGTTGCCGCTCTAGGACCCTGTCAATCTGCTCCCCACCCGAACCTTCCCAGAGCCCTGAGGGGAAATCTGGATATGAAACGAGTGTTAGATTTTGTCCAACAAATGTACATTTTCATCAATGTGGCAATGGCGGTGAGGCTTATGGGACACTTTCCTCTCTGTAGGAGATGCAGGTCAACAGCCACGATGCTTGTAATTCACTGACTCCCCAGAAATGTATGGGAGCCAGTGTGGCAGGTGAGCGAGGGCGTGAGCGAGGGCTGGGTCGAGGCGCAGAAGGACGGTGCAGGCGCTCATCACAGGACTGTCCTCCCTTGCGAGGGGTTAGACATTTTTCCTACTAAAGAGCTGGGGGTCCTCGGTGGGGAGGCGTGGAGGGGCGTCGCCTCTGTGGAGGGTGCTGGCTACCTGGGTGCTTGCCCTGAGAACTCAGCTGGCTGTTCCCTGGTAACTCCAGCACCTTCCAAGGAGCTTCCCAGAAAGCTTCTAAAATAACCTGTGTCTACACACGCCGTCCTGGACGCCCACGCCCCCCCCCCGTGAGCCTCACCAGCCTAGCGCGCTC